CCCCAAAACCCCAAAACCCCAAAACCCCAAAACCCCGTAAAGTGGATTCATAAGATTAGAAAAAGAGAACAGATGATACAATAAATTTAATAGAATCTAATATCTTGTAAATATCATTATTATAGCAAGGCCTAGTAGGATTTAATAATCTCAGGAATCACGCCCCTATCTTCAATTGTAGGTGTAACTCTTGGTTACTAGACGTTGTTTGATATATCTCTTAATAAATTTCTCAAAATTTTCCCACTTCTAGTCTTGGGTAGCTTTTAAACAAAGACTACCTATTCCAATTTGGCAAAGGCTCCTACTTTCTATCTCACCTCAGCTTAGATAATTTTTTGAATTTCTTTTCGATCCACTTTCTCATCTTGTAAAATAATAAAAGCAATGGGCACCTCACCTTTCAGTGAATCGTCTTTTCCAACTACAGCACACTCGGCTATACCTTTGAGATCTGTCAAAACTTCCTCTATTCTACCAGTAGAGATTCTGTGACCAGCAGTGTTTATAACATCGTCAGTTCTTGCCAAAACGTAGATGTAGCCATCTTTATCAATCTGACCTGCATCTCCTGTAAGATACCATCCCTCAGGAGCTTATAGATATTTTTCTACGTAAGCTTAATCATTACCCCAAAGTCCATCCATATGGCCTGGAGGGCAAGGAAGTTTAATTACAATCTTTCCTGGCTTATCTGGCTCAGTTATAATATTATCATCATCATCCATTATTTTTATATCCCAACCTGGACATGGCTTTGTAGCAGATCCGGGTTTCATTTCAAATGTCTCAAGATTGATGTAATTAGAGGAGATTGGCCACCCAGTTTCAGTTTACCACCAGTTATCATTAAGATGAGCATGAGGAATTTTCTTGTGCAACCACCTAATTGTTTCAGGGTCACATCTCTCTCCAGCAAGATGGATGCTCTTCAATGATGTTAGATCATGCTGAGCCAATAATTCACCCTCATAATCATCTTTCTTAATGGCTCTAACTCCAGTAGGAGCGATAAATAGAGCTTTCACTTTATAGTCCTCAACCATTCTCCATACTACACCTGCATTTGGGGTGCCAACAGGCTTTCCCTCATACATGACAGTAGTTCCTCCCCTTACAAGTGGTCCATAAATGATAAAATTATGACCCACAATCCAACCGATATCTGAAGATGCAAACATCACATCTCTTTAACCGATATCAAATATGTAATTCATTGCATAGTTGTAAGCTGCAAGTTGGCCTCCAACACTTCTATATATACCTTTTGGAGACCCTGTGGTTCCACTCGTGTACAAAATAAAAAATGGATGTGTTCCTTCAACTGGCACAACGTCATGGCCTTATGTTACCTTTGCCATCTCTTCATCATAATCCAAATATAATCTTTTGTCTATGTCTTTTTCTTTGTAGCTTCTTCTTTGCACTATCACTCTTTTAATATCTGGATGTCCACCAATGACACAGGCCTTGTCCACGTTATCACAATATGGAATGATTCTATTTGGTTCAAGTCCTGCTGATGCAGTGATTATAATTTTTGGATTAGTTGTCTTAATTCTATTGCCTAGCTCTTCAGGCGCAAAACCCCCGAACACTACAGAGTGAATAGCACCTAAGCGTCCACAAGCATGCATGGCAATAAGTGCTTCAGGAATCATTGGCATGTAAATTATTACAGTGTCGCCTTTTTAAACTCCTTGATTTGACAAGACTCTAGCGAACTTTGAAACCTAGTTCTGTAGCTCTTAATAAGTTAGTATTCTTGTTCTTTTAGTAAAAGCACTCTCATATATAACAGCAGTATCACCGCCTCTTCCTGCTTCGACATGTCTGTCAATACAATTATATGACATATTAGTAAGACCACCTGAAAACCATCTATAAAGAGGGGCCTTCGACTAGTCCAAAACCTTATCATACTTCTTAAACCAGTGTATCTCTTTTGACTGATCTTCCCAGAATTTTTCTCTTGCAGCTGGGTCCAATGATAGGCGTCTATGTTCTTCATAAGACTACTTTGCACTAAATGCTCTGACTTCAAACTTTTGAATTTGTTGAGACTGCTTACTTAGACAGCCCAAAATATGTCTTCTTTAAAGATACATAGGAAAGATTTAGAAATCTTAATATTATATTACAAACTCATCTCTAGTATTCGTTTAAATACTTCACAAAAAATTGAAACTTGAATACTATTCGCTCCTCTGATTTAATTCTATTCTTACAGCTGTGGGGTTTTGGGGTTTTGGGGTTTTGGGG